TCAGCTTTGGTCCCCATGAGGAGCATTGGTTCCCCACAAGGCTGTGTTTTTCTGGACAATGGTCCCCATGACGTAGTAAAAATGTGTCCACACACGCGCACACTTCTCAGCACAGTTCCTCGGCCCAGGGGGGTTTCCTGTCCTCTGCTGCGTCTGTCTGTGTTGTGAAACTCGGAACAGAGATTCAAGTTATGGCCGCTGACTCACCCTGAGGCTGAACGGTTATGGTGTGTGGCTTGTTGTCAGACCTCAGGGGAGCTCTCTACTCCAACTCACACAAATGGAGTATTTAGTCCATCACGACTGTGACTTTCATATGGCTCTAGACAGAGKTTATCACAGAAACATACTGGCTATTTTGTGACACCATTGTTCACATGGTAGGTGGCAGCGGGGTGAACAATGTAAGTCGAATCGTGTATTTTTGACAGACACCGTGATTTGGGATTTCCAAAAGTGGGGAAAAAACTTGAATGATCATTTCATTTTTAATGTTTCACTATTGCAATTACACAGCTATGGGTAACAACTAGGCAGAAGAAATGACTGCTTGTTGTTAATAATAAAATTCTAAGCATAATTAAAGTGTATAGAATAAAACATTTAAGAAAACGAGCGTGCTGAAGTAAACAGTGGACAGGTACATAATCTAATTCTCATAGAAATGCATATAGAGCTTTTATTTTGAAGGCCTTCAGGCTGATTGGCTTAACGCTCAGTTACCTTCTATACAATGAAGAAAAATCCACCTAAATGTAAAGTATATAATTTATTTATTTTGTGAACATATGATGTGACCATTTTCTATTCTTTTTACTGATATGTGCATGAACTGTTCCCCAACAACAGAATTACAAATTTATATTTTTTTGCTGTCAGTATTGCCCACTCTGTTTTAACTTAGTAACTACTTCTACAGTTAAACTATTTTCCAGTCAGTGTAACAGAATAACTTACGAATGTAATTATGACTGAATAAGCCAACTTGATTGATGATTTATAGCCCATGCTCCCCTCCCAGAAATCAGCTTTTATTCTTTTCCCAAACAGACCACACTTGTTTTTGTTAGTTGACAGTATCCCTCTCCAAGACAGGAAGGGCTCAATTCTCTTCTGTCACTAAGTCACTAAGATCTGTCCAAATGGTCCACCGCACCATTCTCTGTCACGTCTMGTTTCCACAAGCACTTTGAAATGGATGAGTAGCGGCTGGCTGCTTTGTATTTTGTTTTCACTGTCTGTGTAAGCTCCCTGTTTAAACAACACAGAAATTGGTCTGCTTGTCAGCCTGGTGCTGTGTGCAGTTTGCTCAGCGTGGATTTCTCCAGAGTCTCTCAGAGCCTGAATTTGAATGAAGTCGTCTGTTCACTTCTCTGATCTAATTTACCGTCATCTTGGAGGACATTCCTGACCTCTTCCGAATAACTGCTACACTGTGATAATTAGTTCTTACGTATAGATGGCACCAGTTATCACTGCTAAGTGTCACACCAACTGCCCGCAGTAATAATAGTAAACAGTACTGTAATTTCTTATCGTTCTGAAATAATGCTTTAACTGTGTAGGTGGGTAAGCTCGAATTTGGCCTCTGGGACTTATGTGGTGGGTTTGATAGGCCCAGATGTTTCCAGTAAAAAGAAGCAAATGCTAATTACTAGCTGTATCTCCAGGCATCCCACATAGAAACATGGTCTTAAGTCTAATATATTAAGACACATCGCCTTGTAGGAGCACTGCTCAGTTTTTTCCCCCCTCTAAATTGTCTTCATAGTTTTGCTTTCTTATCATTGAATTCACTTAAATATGGCTATGAGCCACATACTGTATTGTGTGTTGGGTGAGTTGGTGAAATACTGAGAAAAGAAAACCTACTTTGGTGATTTTTTTTTAAAGAAATAAGAAATGTAGAACAAAAATCATAGGGGATTGAGACAATTCTGAGCAGCAGAATACATCTCCTGTAACCAGTAAAGTTTTTACAAAGTAACGATTGAACTGAAGGTGTGTTGGAACCCATGAGGACAATCATTGGACACCCCTGATGTAGCTGTTATTTCGGGTTAAGTTGAAGAAATTGGAGATAGGTCTCCTTAATTCTTCCTTCTACATTGTGCAGCACAGCACAGCTGACAGCAAWGTAACCCTACAGCATGTTGCTAACACTACCATGCTTTTCACCTGATCCATTAGTGTTGGAAGCCTTGATGTTGTTTTTGTTCCTGAACGTCCTAACTTATTTCTTTTCATTGGAGTATGTCAGACGAGCATTGGTCAGTCCAGTAAGTAGTGTCAAACAAATTATTTTTGTTCTGCCGACTACAATCATGAACAAGGCCTTGGCCTTGTCAAGTTAAGACATGAATCTTCAGCAGCTCTTATTAAAGGATTTAGCTGAATGTACGTTTAAGTTGGTAAACTTGACCTTGTGTAGATCAGGAAAAAAATTAAAATAAATTGAAGGTTGTACATCTAAACCTTAAAATTCTTAAAAACGTATGTTGGATAATCATTTCACCCTGGAATAATAAAGGTCCAAATAAATTAATATAAGCCCAAAATTAATGCCATTTATACACATGATAAATGCAAATAAACCTCTGACTGCAACTCTTGTGTCATATAAGCAAATAATTTTACCACATTTTTAAGCAGCCAGTATGAAATCAGATTATTATTGTTTAGTTTTGCAGACACTTTAGTGAACTGTTAGAAAAAAAAACATTTTTTTATCTTTAAAAAACTTTTTGAATGAACAAAATTGAAGCATTCCATTATTAAGATGGCAAACCAATGACTGTGACTCCTTTGCATGACTCTGCAAGCCTATGTATTAGTGTGTTTAAGAGGGAACTGAGAGTGGTGCTGACAGACTTAAGAGTGCCTGTAAGCTGTTGTATTTAGACACAATGCACAATCAGRCACTCTAGAGACCACAGGCTCTTTGTTCCAATTTCCTCTACAGCAATTCAGGGCAGAGGTACGGTGTATTTTTCTGATTTACTTAAGCACATGTGGTCAGAGCTGAGAGGCTGCAGAGCTGGTAGAGAAGAGTGTCTGGGGTGCAGGTGATTTGTCATCAGATGAGGTTCATTAGGGCTGGCAGGGTTTTGTTGGGCGAACTACTGATGTGGAAAAAGGTCATGAATCAGGTACAGACTAGGAAGGTTGCTGTAGTACTGGTAATAATTGCTTATGGATTCCATAAATGAATATGGATTTTATTATTTCAGAATCTACTGTTTCTTAATTCAAACAAAGGGAATTTAGCAGTTATGTTATGTAGTACCATCACAAAGGAAAATAAGCTAAATAAAAAAATGTAAATTTGATGTTGGTAATGTGTTTTGCTGCATTTAGAAGTTCCCCTTTGTGGTCACAAGGGCTGTTTTACAAACAAAAAATCATACAATCATAACCTGTAACAGTAAAACTCTACAGATATTAGGCAAACAATGGGRCAAGACGGCCATAGATATAAAATCATGTCTGCAGGCAGTTTCTTTCCCCCAAAAGCATAGTTTCTTTCCACAGTCTGATGACATGCATGTTATGTGAATCAGCTACTCAAAATTGTCTCTAGGTGTGAAAATAGGTGTGAAAGTGTTTGTCCGTCTGTACATATTAACTCTGTGACATGCTGCCAGCATGTCCACACTGCAACCTCACCCTCTCACCCAGTGCATGCTGGGATAGCCTCCAGTAATGAGTGTTCCTGGAGTGAGGATTATAAGATTCTGTTATGCATGTACAAATTTATCAGGACTACGCAAAGCAGATAACATGAAATATTGTACTCAGTCTCTCTCTCTCTCTCTCTCTCTCTCTCTCTCTCTCTCTCTCTCTCTCTCTC